TCACAAATATATACAAAGTCACTCATATAGATTCGAGTACCCAGCGTGTGAGAAAGAATTGTTGAGAAATGTATGTGTGAAACACCAACTTTATTAATCAAAGTCATTTACTTTTCCAGAAATTTACTTGCTTTCTTCTTTACTTTCCTGTCGAAATCCTTTACTATTAAGCCTTCATTTATTTTACCAAGCCTACTTCTTCATGCAATTTACTTAAAGCCTCTTTATTTTATTGCCATTTAACCAATATCCAATTTAATCAAAACCTCAAAATCAACCTATGTCCTAGGATCAATCTGATCGATCCTGCGAGTAACCAAATAAGTAACCATTTGGAGGATCAGCGGTTGTTTACCAATAACCACGGTAAACACCTACATTGCAAATGGCCACAGAGCGGTCATGACGTTCATAGGGATAATAGGCACATGGACCTTGTCAGCATAGATTTGGCATTTGTGGTAAGTTCTTGAATGGTGATGGCAATCAGTCTCTGTGATACGGTGGCAGAACTGACTGTTACTACTGGTTTTGCGTTTGTGTTTGCAAATGTCGCAGTAAGCAAGAGTCACCGCCGCCTTTTAATTTATCCAATAAAAGAAAAGGGAAAAAGAATAGAAAAAACCTTTTTCGAGATGTTTATGAGTACGGGGGGTAGATTATAGAAAGGGAAGGTGTTAGCACCCTTTCTATCCATGGTTTTCCATGGATTCTCAGATACTTGCTCATTTTGAAATTGCTTTTGTGTGTGTTTTGAAAAGCTTTGAAAATGCCTTAGTGCAGCGTTTCACTTTATGATAACCCTTGTGTCAGTCCTCAAGAGTGTGATAAAGCGTTTTTGAAAACTTTGTTCGGAAAGTGTAAGTGTGAAAAAACTGGTTACTTTGAGCAAGTACTTAAGATTTTCTACCTACTCGAAAAAGACTGTTCATTTTCTTATTTCCTTTAGATAGTGCTATCCTACTATTAAGGAGTAGGTAGTTCTATCGTTGGAGTTTGAGGGACAATCGAAAGGGACGATTACGGTCACCTAAGGCAATAGGGCAAGATCTCTTAGTAACTGTCCTAAAGTTCTAAGATCGCATTTTGTTTTACTGAGGCAACCTTCGAAAGGGACTTGCGATCTTTGAATTAGAGGACAATCATTAAAAATTCTCACGTTAGAGAATAATGACCGTATTTCCGAGGCAACCGAAGTGGGAGATACCCTATGGGTGAGCATGTGCAAGTGTTTAATTTCAGTTTATTTATCTTTGCACATTTAGGGTGATCTACCATTTTAATCATTTAATCATTCCATTCAATCCTATGATCATTCATCTAACAGTTCATAGTAGCGAAAAAATAAAATGAGAGAATCTTAAACCTAGCTATTACAAGGCTTTGGGGGATGGGGATTACAAAACCAGAATGGGGATTCAACAATAAATAAAAGCAGTAAAATAAATCCTAGTTAAAAACTATTACAATCCATAATCAGATACAATAATAATAAATGATAATAACTATATGAAAGTAACTAACGCGCGCACGACTACTTCTCAAGTCGACTTTGACCAAAGTCAAAGAAATTGATTAAGATGTCTTTAAATCTATCTTGTATAATTTCATGAATCCAAACCAAATATTAAACCATACTCGCACCTTGGCAAAACCCTAGTTCATGAGATACATAGGTAAATAAACCCTAATCTCTGGAACTGATGAAACTGGGCGGAGAATGGCCCTATGGCGTGATGAAGAAGAAATTCTTAATGACCGCAACTCACAACCCTAATTTCACTGCTCATTGCTTGAAGAAGAAATAATTCTTTATTGGGTATATACACCTAAATCACCTTAAAACCCTAATATTGCACAATTAGTTGATCTTGTGAACCTCAAGTATTTATTGAATGGAACGTATACTATGTTAATGCAGACGACCTAATGGAAAGATGCGGACACAATGCAAATTCTAAGCCACATAAAAGCAATCAGGAGGACAAATTTTGGGGTGCAACAAGATACCTCAAGCATAATTGGCCATGGAAGAGACAAAAGAGATTTGATAAAAAAAAATAATACAACGAAAAGAAATAAAATAAAAAGAACAAGAGGCCCATGCAAATAAAAGCCCAAAACAAAGGCCCAAACAAGCAGAATGTGGCGCCTTCCACATTCCCCTGTCGCCCTCCACCTTTCAAGGAGTGGTGCCTGCCACTCTCTCCACACGCCCGCCAATTCTCCATATTGTTCTAGATTCTCGCCATTCTTCTCCGTGCGCTCGCCACTCTCGCCACGATTCGTCTTTCTCGTTCAAGCCAATCGCGCTAAATTCTCGCTGACCACCATATTTTCAGGGGAAGAGCTGCATTATAAATAGGAACTCACACCTACGATGTTGGGTTCTTCATTTTTCAGCCAGAGCTTTGTCTTAGAATTTGTAGGCAGATAATTTACTCAGAAAAATGATAGCTCTTACACATCGGGGGACTATCACAACTTTAGTTTTTAGGATTTTAATTTTGTTCCGTGTTTTAAATATCAAGTGTGTCGGTATAATTCAAACGAGGGTTCCAATTATTTGTACGCGAAGTCAATTTAAGAAGTTATTTCAGTTTTTGGTATTGTCTACAGGTTCTATTTTTAATTGCATATCTTGATTGTATGATTGTTTTGATACTGTGAAATTATTTCCTGTTATGTATTGTTATACCCGAGCAACAAATTAATTATCGTTTTTAAAACCATGTTTTGCGTTATGTTTAACCATCATAACAAACTGCTTATGTTCAAAACTATGTCTGACTAAACTGTTTGATACCGGTATGTAAGAACCGTCGTCCAGACAGGGTTCGGTAATAATTGGCGTTAAGCTTTACATACTATTTTTCTGGTTATAGTTTCTAATTCTAAAATCAAAAACACTTTTTCTATGAGAGTAAAAAGCTAGTAAATGTTAGGGTCAATTGAGCGACAATTTGTGATTTTAATCGGATAGTAGAAATATGCATTAATCCTAAACACAACGAGTGCGCTTTAGGATTAATTAGAACTTATTGATTTCCAAAAATACTTTTAATTCAAATGAGTGAGCGACATCAAAGCATTTTGGCTTAAGAGTATAGTCAGAGTCAATAGCACGACACTGTAAGATAAAGACTTTTAAATTAATATTTTCCACAGAAAGGTATTTTGACACGCCAATATTTTATCGAATCCCCGAAGTACGACGAGTTACATACCCGTGTCCTATTATTGAATATTTTTATTAGAGTTTAAATTTATTTCCCGTTTTCCTCAAACTCAAGATTAATCATTATCCTTAGATTTACACAGTAACATTAAATATCATTAGTTTGATTATCAGTCCCTGTGAATTCGATATCTTTTAAAACTACGCGATTAAACCGTGCACTTGCAGTCAGTAAACCCAATAGACTCTTAAAGTCGCGATCAATGCCCAATTCAATTCTGCATGTAGGACAATCTAATAACCTTGACCCAATGAAACGTGAAGGATAAATGACACTTCATCTCTTCCGCCTCTTACCCGAGGAGCCCTGGTCGGGTAACCACTAGGGTCTACACGGTTATTTCTGCCCCACTCAAACAGGTTATCCCTCATCCTGGCTCGTCACACGAGGATAGACACCCAGGAACGACCAGAAATCGCGTTTGCCCATGAGACACTTCTCTGCCTGTTGTAACGGCTAGTTACGAGCACCTCTGTCCGTCACAATGACTAGTTCCTGACATTTACCTATTTTTGAGAAACCTGATATATAGGTCCAAAAATAAGAACTAATGGCCAAACGCCGGCGGCACTATATAAACCCTCACACTTGTGAGAGTCAAATATCAAATATTCATTTTGGAAACTCTAATCTTTATCTCTTTGTATTCTTTCTTACATGAGTGTCCGAGTGTCTTGCAGGTACATCCCCCTCCTCTTCACTAATTTCAGCCTTATAGACGTCATCTATTAATCCACTTAAAGTTGTGATTAACTAATAAGATAAAAAAAGAAAAATTTAATAAAGGGACAAAAAGAAAATTTGAACCAATAGAATTGTGTAATGTGACTGAACAAAAAGCATTGTGATGGACTAAAAACATTAGATATTATGTTATTTAGTCTTTTGTTCATTCACTAGGATAAATGTAATTAATGTAAAAGGATAATTAAGCGTGTTTGATGACATGTCTCCACAATGGATAGATATAGTTAATGTTGAATTTATCCGGACAAAAAGGTCAACTAAACATAACTTAATATTTTTTTATTTTCAAAAATAGCATGATAAAATTACCGACAGTGAGCAAAAATTGAAAACAAGATCACCTTACACTTGGCCATCGTGTACAGTTTACACGTTGCGTATGTTTGTTGTCTCCGTCTTCTTTTTCCATCATCTTTTTTAAACCACACTTTTTTTTTTCTGCCTACAAAAATAAATAAATCAAACTAATAATAATAATAATAATAATAAAAAATAAACAAAGAAACGTATTAAAAAAAGCTTCTCCATTAAAGAAGACAGAATCGATTCATCTCTTCAACTCTCTGATCCTCTTTCACTTTCAGGTTACTTTTTCTTCATCACTTTCCATCACTACCAATTTACAATTTTCTTTGCAATTTTCAATTTTTTTTTTAATTTTTAATTTTTTTTTGCAATTTAAACTAATTATTTAGGTTATTCGATTGATGAGTTTGTTTTTTTAATTTGAAGGGGATTTAGTTGACGATAAAGTTGCGATTTTGTGGTGAAACTGTGTTTGTCGTTGTCGTTTTGCTTCCAAGATGGTGTCGTTTTCAAGAATATAGTTTCTGGACAGGAATCGCGGTTTAAATTCGGTATTGGGATTTTCGTTTAATTGAGTGAAATTGGTTTCTCCTTTTGTGGAATTTACGGTGACCCTTGAAGGGTCTCTTGTATTGTCGTCAAAATTTGATTTTTGAATTGTGATTCAATTTCGTTAGGGTTTGAGTTTGAGGTATATTTGTTGTTAAAATGTTTGATTCAATTGCTGCAACTTTGATTCTGGGTTACCGTCCGGTTTGCGGTGGGAATTTGATTAGGGATGTGAATGGAAAGAGGAAATCTTTCAATACTTGCAGGTTTCCACCAGGTGAGTTTCTTGGTGGAAAGGTTGTTGTTTCACTGCCTTTGGTTAAATCGAAGCGAGATGGGTTCTTGTTGGCTTCGTCAATTAAGGCTCTCGCGGTGGAGCTTACGAGAGAAGTCTATGCGTATAGGGAGGATAGATTGCCAAAGAAAGGGAATAGTAAGATTGACAGTGGTTTTGATCGAAGGCCTGATTTGTGGCCACCGGAGAATCGAGCGGATAAGCCTTCGCTGAGAAACCCGTTGCTTAGACAGGAGAGGATGGGATGTGGTTGGTTGGGGGCTATATTTGAGTGGGAGGGGGTTCTCATTGAAGATAACCCGGATTTAGAGAAACAAGCTTGGCTTGCACTTGCGCAAGAGGAAGGAAAACCGTCTCCTATGGCTTTTGTGATCAAGAGAATTGAAGGTATGAAGAGTGAACAGGCGATTTCGGAAGTGTTGTGTTGGTCTAGGGACCGGACTGAGCTGAGAAGAATGGCGAATAGAAAGGAAGAAATCTACCAAGCTTTGCAAGGTGGGATTTATAGTTTCATGCCTGGGTCGAAAGAGTTTGTCGGTGTTTTGATGCATTATAAGATACCGATGGCTTTGGTTTCTACGCGGCCTAGAAAAGTTATCGAGTTTGCTATGGGGGAAATTGGCATAGTAGGAAACTTCAATGTTATTGTTGCGGCCGAGGATGTTCACAGGGGAAAGCCTGATCCTGAGATGTTTGCGTATGCAGCTCAGCTTTTGAACTTCATACCTGAAAGGTGCATTGTGTTTGGAAACTCAAATCTAACCGTGGAGGCAGCACATGATGCACAGATGAAGTGTGTTGCTGTTGCTAGCAAGCATCCCGTGTACGAGCTTCGGGCTGCAGACTTGGTTGTGAGGCGCTTGGATGAGCTTTCAGTGGTTGATTTGAAGAAATTGGCAGACATTGAGACATCTGAATTTGGGTCACCACAGCCTCAGATGGAGTTGGAAGAATCATCTGATGACGACAGTTTCTGGTAAATCGTATAAATGTACAGTTGATTGAACTTGATATGATTCTTGATGATGATATTAGTTACAGATTAGTTACATGTGTATATGGTAACACTAAATAGAATAATGAAAAATATTTGTCAAAAGTGGTCTCTGTATTGAACAATAATGTTACTACTTACTACTACTGTATATTTTGTTCATACATGCATTGGATTTTCAGATTTGATTTGCTTGCGTTTTCATCCATATGGTAAAATAGAAGATACCTCTATTATATCCACTTTTATGTTTGTTGCTAAATTTAGTTGTTATGCTTTGGGAATCAATTGAGAAGTAATACCAATAATCATTATTCAGTGTTACTTTGTTGACTGTTACTCTGCAAGTGTTCAATTCATACATTCGGATTCATTGTATAAGCTTTTTCAAATAAAAGTGAAAACGACATATAGGAACTTTAGCTTGTTTATTTGAGTTTATTTAGTCACATACTAAGTTTTATGATAATGTTTAGAAGATCTTATCAAAACACTTTAGATATTTTTCATAATTTTTTAAAATTTATTTTTAGAAATTCTTTAAAATAATTTATGCAAATAAGTTATAACATATATAAAAATAATATGAAATTAATTATGACTGTTAGATTATAAATTATATTTTATTTCAATTTTAATTATTTATTAAATAGGATTAATAGGTGGTTGTAATGTATTAGTTTTACATTAACTGTACATAGAAATTAATCCCTTAATACAATTAAACACTTAATTTTGATAAGAATCTGTTTATAAAATCTAAATAAACTGTTTATTCAAATATACTCGTACGCCAAATTAACAGAAGAAGAATTCTAGTTTGTCGTTGAGTAAATTATTTCACAATTATTAGAATGGTTACTTCTATAATAGAACATTAGTAAAAATAGCATATGAAAATTTGATTTTTTTATTAAATTTTTTTTTTGGACCAAAGATAATAATTTAATTCCAAAAAATATGAAATTACATACGCCGATCAAATAGCAAGCAAACAAAGAGGCAAAAAGACTAAGAGAATCTATAACAATCAAGTAAATCAAGTTTTTATTAGACGACAACAACGATTTATTTAGAGGGGAGTGAGTAGATCACTAAACTAAAATATCAATTAAAATTAAAGTTTTAAAAATTAATTGAAAAGAGTGCAAACGGAAGGATTTTATATAGATCGAACAAAGTCGCCTATACGAATCTAGTTATTGGAACTTGGATATGCAATTAAACCTTATGGAATGAACAACATAACAATATAAATTTATACACTTGAAACAAGTAACACAATATTATTCGTTTATAGCAAGTTACTAACAATATTATTTTCAATGATAACTAACAAAAATAGTGAACTATGTAATTTGTCAAACACTTGAAGTAAACCTTATGGAATTAACAACACAACATATGCAATTAAGCCTTATGAAATGAACAACACAACAATATGAATTTATACACTTGAAACAAGTAACACAATATTATTCGTTTATAGCAAGTTACTAGCAATACTATTTTCAATGATAACTAGCAAAAATAGTGAACTATACAATTTGTCAAACACTTGGTATACGAACGAATTTTTCAGATTTTTTCTTGAGTTGTGTTGATATGAAAAAACACTTATAGTCAAAGTGATTATAAGCTAATCAACAACGAATTCAAAACAAAAACAATCACGGAAAAATTCTTACGAGTCGATTAATCAATGATATTTAACGAATTACTTAATGAAAAGTAAAGTAGGTAAAGAGATAAGAGAGAGAGACACAAGAATTTGTTTAGGAAGTTTACTAACCGTCCTCGCTATAGCTACGTCTCCCCTCAACTCCAATTTTGGAATTAGGATAATTTTTTACTATGCAAAAAATAGATTACAAGAGAAGTGTTCCAAAAGCAACCCTACAAACCCTAATCGTTTGTTGTTGATTCAACCCCTTCTCTTCTTTTGATCTTGAGCAAGATCAAAACATAATAATTACCAATTGATTTATTGAATTCAATCTTGCTACTCCTTTGAGTACCGAACTCAAAATCTCTTTCGCGCACGATCAATTGTACCTATTGAACAGAAGACCTTTCATTTCGATTCGCCGTTCTCTCGCTACTTCCTTGGGTATCAAACTCCGAAGGCTCTTCACTTGGGTGCAATTCTCTCTTGAAAGTATTGAACAAAACCTCCCAATCTACCAAAGATCTTGGAGGATAAACTCTAGATTTCTCTGGATGAAACACCTCACAATTCTCAACCCAATATTCTCGATTACACAAAAACCTAATTGGCCGTTATCAAACCTCGCCTAGATGGCACCCTGACAAAGATGATTATGTGTGATTTATCAGTGTGTATGCATAGGTTATAGGTTGAAGGTGAAGAGAAATGGTGGTAAGTGTTTATAGTTTCATCAAATTGAAATGATGCATGAATGATGTATTTATAGTTGTGGAAGTTTATGAGCAAAGAGGTGATTTTCTGAATTAAAAAGAATTGAAAAATTGTCTCACTTAAACAGTATGTGCCGGCCTGAAACACGTATGTGCTGGCACATAAGTAAAAAACTAATAGTATGTGTTGACCTGAAAAGACATATGTGCCAACCTATGCAAGTCAGTGGCTACATGCTTTAATACTGCACTAGATGTGTCGGTCTGAAAATCGTATGTGCCAACACATAAAACTGAAAATTATAGTATGTGTCAGCCTATGTGATACATGTGTTGGCCTGTGTCAAACAGAAACTACATGTTTCATTATTGAGTTACACGTGTCAGCCTGAAACACGTATGTGCCAGCACATGCAAGTAAATTTATGCAAAAAATTGATTTTCAAGGTTTTGATCAATTTCAAAATGGCTTTTAATAATTCCTAAGACCTCTAATACAAGCAAGTGCCACATGACATAGAGATACCGTCCAATATACACAAATATTAAATTTTCTTAGTTTTAACATCATGCAAAACATCTAATAATAAAATTGCACTCATTGTCTCAAGTTTATTAGAGTACATGGCTAATTTCTCGTCAAGCTTCGCTCTCCAAATCACATTTTGGATAATATATGCACTTTGTAATTCCCTTGTAGCTCTACTTTGAAAGATCACCTAATTTCTATTAGTCCAAATGGAGTATATCGTTTCTGCAAGTGCAATTTTCAATAGGTGGCCTTGACAATCTTTACCTTTAGTATGCTGGCAATTCCACTTCAACTCAGAATTCCAATCATGGGAGCATGCACTATGTTCATCCAGGCAAGGATGTGATTCCAGATTCTTTTAGTTTCGGTACACTAAAAAAATAAGTGGTTGCAACTTTCGCGGTCTCTACAATATATGCATATGCCATCCGTCGCAATCCCAAGTTTGTTGTCTGTCTTTGGTGGGAAATCTCTCCTTGCAAGCCATCAAAAAGTGAAAAAAAACTCTAGGTATTGCAATGTTTCCAAAGAACAATTTTCTCCATGTCACTTTAGGTTTGATACCATGTATCATTTTGAACATTTTCTTCGTCACATATTTTCCAGTTGTTGCAGTGTACCTATAGCAAAACCAGTTTCCTTTTGAATAAGCAGTTATGTCTCCTCATCAATACACCATAATATATTTTGCTTTAGGGATGCTAGCTTTCAGGCCAGTTGCAGCAGAAAAGTCTCATAATTTGTCCATCATTAATCTAACTGATTTTAGGTCTCCTCTCACAAAAAGCAATAAATCATCAACAAAGCATAGGTTTTTGAATCTAACAATGAAATAGCCAGTATCATTATAGTACAAGTCTAGTAAGGATACAAAATTACTTACCTTCTTCATGAATTTATTTATAGCATTCATTGACAATGCTTCACCCAAAGCAAAAGGAAACCTTCCTCACCACCAACTCATTTGACTCATCTACCAACGGTTTTTTGGATAGTAGATAAGCCAATATTTTTCCAAAGTTGATTCCCCATCAACAATTCTTTTATCTATCTAATAAGATCTTGACAAAAGTTAAGTAGAAGGGTAAGAAGATTATCCCTACATAATTAAATTAATACACCACTCTTAGATCCCTTCTAACACATCTAGATTTAAGCGATGGAATGCTTATTTCAATACAAGGAACTTTTGGAAAATTGGCTCTCCAATAGTTTCAACGAATTACTTAGGTCTCAAGGATCAACATGAGCACACACATCATGGTCTGGGCAATATGTTACATTGCAACCAAACAACGCAACCTTCAAGAAACCCTATTCATAACTATTCATAACTTGAAGTATAAAAATAGGCGATCATTCGTGGAGCGAGAGAGAAAGAAAAAAAGAAAAGAAAAGAACAATGTTAGAGCAAAACTAAGTGTATATTATATTTTTTGAGTTTTGATGATAATAAAGAATTTGAAGAAAAATTGAGTCGACTAATGTGCGTTCAAATGTACAAGTATAAAAATCAATATACTGATTGAAAATCAGTTTTGAAACTACACTGAACCTTGAAAGAGAAGCTTTCTTAGAGGCAGATTCTGAAGATCAGATTCTGAAGGCCAAATTCTGAAGGTGACCAGAATCTGATGTTTCTAGACTCTGGACAAGCTAGCCTCTGAAGACCCAAAGCCTAAAGTCATCAGAAGCCAATACTCAAATTTTGAAGGACTAGAACTTGAACTCAGTCAAAGCTCAAGAACTGGGGATGTCTTGACACGTCATTGTCAGACTATGAGGTTAATTTGTCCTGTTCTAGTCGCATGATTTCTCAGCAGAAAGTTGCAGAATCCTGATCTTTTGCAACTGATAATTCCTTTTGTATTAAAGGAAATTCAAATAAGCTTACAATGACATTACCCATTTGAGAAAGCTTTGCAACAAATATGTTGATGTGTCTCTACAACGTCTCTCTTATGCTTGAAGATCTCTCCAACGACTCTTTTCGTGAAACTCTATAAAAGGACCTAAAGATTTGGAGAAACACACAACATTTCCTCTTGACAAGAAAAGAGAAGTTCCTCTATCAA